CTCAATTGGTAGAGCGCTGCACTAGTATCGCAGAGGTCAGTGGTTCCAATCCCATACAGGCCTGAATTTTTTCAGGTCTGATTTTCACTATTGCTTAAAGAGTGCTTTACTGCGAGGATTACACACATTATATGTGACAGGCCATTATTACACAGTCAATAATTTTCAGCAATGTGATGCAATGGTTACAGTGTAATGGATTTTGGTTTGAGAGGCCTGGGTTCCAGTCACCTGGGCAGGTCCTTGTGTCATGTTCTTGGGAAAAACACTTTCGTCTCACAGTGCTTCTCTCCATCCAGAAGCATAAATGGGTACCGACAAATTTTCAGGGAAGCCTGAATAAATGGTGGGGTGGGGGGGCAAAACTTGTGATGGGCTGACCTCCCATCCAAGGCAGAGTAGTAATTATTATACTTTTAGTTACTCCATGCAATGTAAACCAAGATAAGCTGTAGAGAATACAGACTTAATCTACCTTCAATGTGTTTGGTGAAACAGTGTATGTCCAAAGTATTTAGTTTTCAGTTGTATTAAGTCCATTTTATGCATTTTTGTTTTAAAGGATTTGATTCAAGTACAATCTGGGCAGCTGGCTCATCATCTCAAAAAGATAATTGCTCACTGTACAAAGCATGTGTATAAGTGTAAGGTGAGCAAGTCTTTCTGTAAAAGGAGTACACTAATCTGCAACCACTTTATATTATATTATGTTCTTATACATTGACTGAGGGGTAGCTCTGCTCAGGAAAATATTTGGCTCGAGCTACTGATGTATAGACCTTGCTGTACTTGATACACATATCATGATCAAGAGCCATAATTATATTTTCCTGTCTAGCCCAGCCTAACTCAGCCAATAAGCAAGTCATTCATCTTTCTGCTGTTAATTAATTCACTGGTACATTCAATTCTCAAAGAGTTTTGCATTTTTTCCCTTCAGCTCTGTTGTCAAAAAGGATTTTTCTGTGAAATATGCAACAACCCAAAAATCATGTACCCATTTGAAGTGAAAACTACAACTCAGGTATTTTCGTTTTACTACTACCAATTCAGCTTGTAATGCTTCATACCCACTGTAACACAGTCACATAAGAGTGGTTTGTTAGTTCTCACAAGGTTACATGTTACAACTGGTTATCTGCCTCACCAGTCATTCACCAACTTTATCACCTGGAGAAGACAATAGCTAACAATGTGCAGTTATGACATTGCCTTCAATACTTTTGAACTGGCTTCACCAGATCATGATAATTCATTATCAACCAAATTCACAACTTAGCACATCTGTTTTTTGAGAAATACTCTGGTCCCACAATCTTTCTTCATGGTATATATGGAAGCACAACAAAACCTGGTTTAGTGCTCAAAGCATTACAAAGAAGGTTTGCAGGACTTTCATGAAGAAATGTGGAAGACTAGTATAACATCTGAACTGAAAAAAAAAAGGTAACTAAAGGATATTAAAATTTTTAGACAGAGAACTCTCTTATCTCATCGTCAAAGTTTAATAACCACCAAAGTTTAAAGCTTGTTCAAGCTGCTTAGTGGTTTTAACTAGATTGACTCAGAATTCAAATTCGATAAATAACAGTGTAATTGAACTGATTCCTAAATAAACTAAGTGGACTCTTTTTGTTCTGAAAAAATTTCAGTGTGGAAAATGCAAGGCTCTTTACCACAAAGCTTGTATTGCTGAGAGAAAATGTCCCAAGTGTATACGAATAAGAAAGAAGCAATCTGCAGGAACAAGAACTGCAGCTGTTTTGGAGTTTGATTCACCTTGGTAGCAGCACACAACAAAGGACACAAGTTTTCATTAAAGTGCATATGACATGAAATTTTACTCATGTTTCTTGTGGTTGGATATCTATAGAAAACGTTTCAAAGCTTTAAAAGTGCTGGGAAAATGTAAAAAGCATTTTTTTTTTTTTTTTTGCTTTCGAAATACACGCAATTTGCCTTCAAATTTGTCCTGCAGACTGGGACCTAGTTTATCACCGTCAAAGTTATTTGCGTCGTCACATTGTGTATCTTTGCCGCGAAGGTCTATTGTCACTAAGAGGACTCTGCAGTACTTCGTAGTAGATAGATAGTGCATTGAAAGGCAAATATGTCCAGTGATTCTAATGATTCCTTTGAGTCCGACTCTTCTGAAAGTTCCATTGACTTCGAAGAATCTGGGCACACAATGTGACGTCACGTGTGATTTTGGCCGCGCAATGACCGGGAAAAATTTGAGGGCAAATTGCACGTATTTTGAAAGCAAACAAAACGTTTTTTAGATTTTTCCAGCACTTTTAAGGCTTCAAAACGTTTTCTATAGATATCCAACTACAAGAAACAAGAGAAAAAAATTTCATGTCATCTGCACTTTAACCCTTAAACTCCTAGAAGTGATCAACATGTAACTTCTCCCTATAATTTCTGTACTTTATCCAGCAAACAGGTAATGAGAATACTCAAACTTATCAGGTAGACATTGTAATCCTGGCCCCGGTTGTTTGAAGGATGGATAAATCTCTATCTGGTGGATAGCGCAGTACGTTTTGGTAACACTTATCTGCTGGATAGCGATTTATCCGCCCTTCAAACAACCAGAGCTTATCTAACACCAAATTCTCACAACTAATTTACAAGAAAATGTATAGTTGCAAGAGGGGAGAATTAACAATCAGATCTTGGGAGTTGAAGGGTTAATTCTTATAATTCTTTCCATAAGAGCCTGGTTGTGGCCAAAACTGGTGGTGGTAAGAGGCCTAAAGGTGCCAGTAGATCACCAGTAACCGAGTTTTATTGAAATCCTTGCACAGGTAATTAATTCAAAAACATGAAAAATCTCTGTTCAAATTTTAACAGTTTAATTTATAACATTGTACATTATTGTAATAATGTTGTAACTACATGTCTTTCATGTAGAATAACATTACAATTTTCCACTGGTTATATCTACCTGCATCAATCTTTGTAAATTAAATTCTAAGATACAAGAATCCAAACACAAAAGATACTAACTGTAAGACAAGATGGAAGAAAGTATTGACTTTAGATGATTCTTTTCTCGCTTTAGCCAGTCTGTGGTAACTTTGAAAATTAAATAAAAAAATGTTAGATTTTTTTTGTTGCAAATTTTTAATTCATCTCAGTTCCAAAAAATGCTCCTTTTTAGCTTTGACTTGCAACATTTGTACTCAGAGCCTGAAAATATTCATTACTCTGCTTTTAGCTCATACCATGCATACCAGCAGTAAATTTCTAGTGGTCAATTTAAAAGCTGGGTCAATGTCTTCCAAAACTATGGCAAATTTTGCTGCAATATCATGTATGACATATTAATTAACTACATGAAATTGTGCCACATTGCAAAAGAGAAACAGAAAGCAGCTATCATTTTTACAATGTGTGTCCAAAGATGGAAATGTTTGAAGTCAACAGACTCTGTAATGCAAGTTTCCTTTCTTTTTTCTCAAGACAGAAGTAAAACAGACAATTCAAAATACTTTTGAACTTAGCCTGTTTGTGTTATACTTTGAAATCATATGCACCCATACATCTCAAGCCCTGGTTGTTCTTTCTACAGTTTTAAAAGAGGAACAGGTCATTTTTATCGAGCAACTTTGATTCCCTGTTTCAGAATTCTAACCAAATCCCGGTAATCTTTCTTATCAGAAAATTCTGCCTTGGCCTCTTCCATGGCAGTAGGTGGTGTGTCTTCTGGAATTGCATCAAATGGCCAGGATTCATTTTCTAAGCTTTTCACTGCTTTTTCCTTGAAAGGAAAAGAAAACATAACTAGGAACAAAACAAAAGAAAAATTTCTCTCTACAGAGTTCTTGTAAAGGAGGTAAAAAAGTGCATATAAGCGATTCCTTACCCGTTCAGAAAGCACCTGTTTTATTGCAGCCATTGACTTCTGAACCTGAGTACAGAAAAAGTGATGGTTACTGACTTTAGTTAGCACTGTTAACCCTTTCACTCCCATTAGTGACCAAAACAGAATTTCTCATTACAATGCCCATACGATATCAACAAGACAAGTGATGAGAATTTTAAAAAAAATCGACTAGAGAAGTATTAGTTGATCAGATACCAAATTCTCCAAAGTGACATCATAAGAATTGTATGACAGACAGTGGGGGGAATTACAAATGACATCTTCAGAGAGAAAGGGTTAAAATAATGAGTTTCTTCTTCAAATCTGGATGCTGTTCACTTAATTCTTTCACTCCCAAGATCTCGCTAGTAATTCTCCCCACTGTCGGTAAGTCAGTCTCTGTGGAATGTTTTGGTTCAAATTATTCCTTTCTTTTGTGACCTTTTTTTTTTTCAAAACAGTTTCGTTTTTATTTTCTTTTTTTTTATTTTCTCTTTGACTTGTACCCATCATAACCTGAAGTAAAATCCAAGTATAATTCGCAGGGGTGTAGCTAAGAAATGACCCTGCCCACTGAAATTTCAAGTGAGGCTGCTCAAAGGCGGTGAATGATTTTAAGAGTCTGACCACAGATGTGCCTGTTGTGCTTTACCAAGTGATCGCTGGCCAAATATCCAGCCTGCCATCATTCCTTTTTCATCCAGTACGTTTGCCGGCAGCCAAGGCTTGGTGACAACCCTGAATTTGATCCACTATGCACAAGTTCTTCATTCCTTACCTTATGGGTTCTTGTAGGAGAGGGCATTGGATAACTCTGTCTTTTTGCTTCATGCTTTAAAGTCATAAGCATGTTTCTTTCCTTTAATAGAACGTACCTGTAGGACAGCATAATAATAATAATTTAATATTTATATTGTGCAAATAAACATTTGGATATGACCAAATGTGCATCACAATACTTTTCGGGGTACTTTGGCCACACTGCATCAGCAGTTTACGATCAATCGCAGGAAACTTATTTGAAGATGCCCCCTCCCCCCCAATTCCCAGTAAACAGGCCAGACCACATCACAGTAATCTCATGAGTGGGTTCTTTAACGTCCCCTGCCTAACCTAATTAAGTAATTGATAGATACAGGAGATGGGACCTACAGTTTATGCATCCTTATCTGAGAAGACTAGAATGCCTATCCATTTCTTGATAGTATAGAAAGGTAGCACATTCTCCTCAGTTATTTTAAGACCTTGAGTGTTGGTCCAGCTGGGGCTTGAACCCTCAACCTCCTGCACCACAGTCCAGCACTCAAACCAATTGAGCTAACCAGGAGACGGTTAACAGCCCAGACAGCCTGTAAGATACACGTGTTATATAAAGGAATCCACCTGTCACTGCTTAACTTTTTTTAGCTTGATTAAATAGTAATGGAGTACTTTACTCTCAACAACAACTCTTACCATAATTTATGAAGGTCTTCATTACTTTTTCCTCTCAGTTCTCCAGCACGCCATTTTCTACCTTTTAAAAATCATATTGATGTTATATTAATAAAGAGATCATACATTTTAAATCAAATTCTGCCATCCAAAGACAGTGTATGAAATCCTAATAGATATTGCACAGTGAATGTATTTCAATGAACTAATCATTCAATCAGTCAGTATGTCAGTCACAACTGGTCAAAAGTAACCTGTTGGTTGGTCAGTGAGTCTGTTACTGACCAACTATCAGTCAACCAATCAGTCCATTAATAAGTTATGAAGTCAGCCAGTTGTGCGTAGTCAATGAGCAGGTCAGATTTTCAATTGGTGAGGCAGAGAGTCAATAAGTCCATTAGTCAGTAATCAAGGGCTCAACGCCTACATTTCAACTTACATGTGCTAGCCAAGTGGCTGGTGACAGCTTAGATGTTACAACAATTTCAGTTTGTTTACTAGCCAAACTAGAAATTGAAACCACTTGCCAAAACTGAATTTCTACTAGTCTGCGGCTAGTTGGCTACTGTTCGTGTCCAGCCTTGCAGTCACCAAGTAAGTCTGAGTCAGTGAGTAAATAAGTTGGTAGGTGTAGCAGTTGGTCACAAAGTTACTCAGTCAGCTACAAAGGGAGTCTGATTGGCAATCAATCAGTTGTTTGGTCAGTGAATCAGTCATTCAGGCCCTGTAACCAGTTGATGTAAGTTAATCAGTCAGTAGATCAATGCATCAATAACTCAGTCAGTCACTAATGAAGCTATTAATAAACCATTCATTTATCTCTTCTTTGTCACCTTTTCAAAACCTCACAGTAGTCTCCAGCCAGTTAAATAATCTTTACAGTATGCCAAAGAAAATGAGCCCAAAGAGTAAATGTTATTCAGGAGAATCATCATCATCATTTTATTTGTTTGAGCAGGTTGAATTTATGGCAGCTATATAGCTGATGTGGACCTGCTATTTTTCAGCCCATCCCACTCCAGGGGAGGACATCCATCACACAGTGGTCTTGTGCATGGGAAATTAACGTCTCCTGCCCCTAACCCTACAGGAGACAGGACCTCCAATTATTCATCCCTATCCAAGAAGACTAGAATATCTAATCATTTCTTGATGTTAACGTTTGAGAAAGGTAGCATATTCTTCTCAATCATTTTAAGACCTTCAGTGTTGGTCCGGCCGGGGCTTGAACCCTCGACCTCCCACACAACAGTCCAGCCCTCTATCCACTGAGCTAACCGGGAGGTGGAGAAGAGGAAGTAGAAATCAGGGGGCGATAAAATGGTAAAGATCTTCACATCTGACTGGCTGGTGATGAAGCAAAAGTTCCAAGGTATGGACCAACTAAAGAATAGAGTCTGATTATAAGCTAAGTGGCCCATCATTAGGCCACTGCTTAAATCTAGTTTCTATGGCTTGAAGCAACTATGAAAATTTCTACTCCCCCCTGAATGGGATGCTAGTCCATCGCAGGGCTACCCCCAGCAATTCGCCGGTACCCATTAAAACAGTTTGGTGAAGAGAGGCAGTGTGAGAGTAAAGTGTCCTGCCTAAGAACACAACACAATGTCCCTGGCCAGGGCTCGCACCCAGAACATTCGATTTGGAGTTGGGCACACTAACCATGAGGCCACTGCGCATCCTACAACTAAAGAATATAAGGCCACTAAGCTTTAATTTACCTTGGTGGCAGTCAGACTTCACGACCACAAGGGCATAATGTCTCAATAGGCCATTTTACAGTTGTGTACTTAGTTGCCAAGCCTTTGATTTGGAGTGAAGCTGAAGGTGACCTTGTCATGATAGGGGCCTGTATCTAGTTAGCATGATAACAAAGTGATTTACATTTGAAAGGCAGCCAGGTTTGTATCATAACAAGGTCACCCTCAGCCTCACTCCCATTTAAAAGCTTGGCAACCAGCACAACTATAAAATGGACTATTACGTTAAAATAAGATGAAACCAAGTGGCCTTGTATTTTATTCTAAATATTTCTACAATTTCACCTGTATGAACTTTCTCCTTGGCCAATTCTCCTTTTTTAAATACTTCAGGTGGAAAAAACTCTTCCAAACCAAACACTGCAGGACTTGTTCGTAATCCACGAAGACAGGATCTGCCGCAACAAAAATTAAAAAAGAAATGAACAATTTGCCATTATATGGTTTGAGGGCAAACGTCTCTATCTCACGGAAATTTTACCATACCTGATGTGTAATTCTGTTGAAATAGGCGGTCGAAATGCGAAACATCGAAGGTTATGCAGTACGACCGCCATATTGCTTTAGCGCGCTTACATTATTTTGCGCAGAAGCTAATACTGCTGGTGTATTGCAGGCACTCCATTCTCCTCCCGTGGGACGGAAGACCAACTCGCACCTTCTCGCGTGGGCACGCGAATCGTCAACAAACCAATAAAAGTGGGAAATGATTTTTAATTTTTTTCAAGTATGGACAAAATGTTTTATTCAAACGTTAGTTACACAAAAACAAACGCTTTTTTCCTCCCCTTTTTTCCCCCAACTGTTAATGATATGTATGGTCTATCTTTCTTTACAAAATGAAATCTTCGGCGAATTTCAACTGTCCTTAATTAGAAGTGCGAGGACAAAAATATGTTTTTGTCTAATTAGTGTACAGAGCGAGTCGCGAAAGGAGATTAAAGAAAGCTCAGAGATGACAAAACCCGACATTACCATTATAGATTAGCATAGAAATCTAATTAACTTGTTCATCTTTTCAGAGCGGTTGTTTATCTTTCTTAAGCCTGTTTTCTTCACACCATAGTGTTTTCATCAAAGCTGAAAAATCTCAATTTGCGTTAGCCTCGCTAATTTTTTCTGGCGAGTGATAATAATTTAAGAAAGAAGTTATTTCCCTTATTCTCTGATGAGACCTCATTAATACGTCAAAGATACGTTGACGTAATTGCCTCTGGACATAATTTCTGCAATGCTTTGTAAAGCTTACAAAGAACTAGAAAAGACACTGTGTTTAACGGATTAGAAGTTGAAAACCGCATGCATTATTTAGTAAGAATTTTGACGTCGAAGGAATTGTCATGACACTGCTATTAAAACTTCGATAGTCTCACAAATACCTTCGTTCCAATTAGATTTTTTCCAGACACTTTTTGGTAAAAGCTCTACTAGCAGATGCCTAATGAACAGAACTACATTATAATCACTTCTTCATCTACCCCAAAAGGAAATATTTTTTCAAGCGCTTATTACTACTCTGTTACGTAAATTAAGCACTGCTTCAGCTTTCATAACTGATCTACATCCTGTCAAAGACTTAAGAGCTTTTAAAGCATTGAGCCAGATGCCAATATAGTGAAAGTAAACCACTGAAGAAATGTTTACGTAGGATGAAAACAAGGCTTTTATAGAACTGTCATACGTGCGCTAAAAAGCTGCAGAGAAAGTGACAGACTTTGAAGTTTTGGAAGACAAAGCTTGGCGAGAGTTTCGGAGTCTTTCATAAATATTTTACGCTCGTTACGAACCGTCATGGAAGGGAAAAAAGATTCAGAATTCACGAAAAAAGTGCGGTTCGACTTAAACGAGGAGGTTTTTCTTATTCCAAGCAAATGGGATCGACTGAGCAAATGTAAAACTGCCACTGCGAAAAACATCGAAGGACCGGTGAACAAACAGAGAAATCGTGCTGTCGCAGAACGCCGGTTTGAAGTGACTCGAGGTAAACAAAACAAAACTAAAGACAGAGCGACAAAGGTTGTGTCGAATCGCGAGTCGAACGGGAAGCTTTCAGATAATAGAAGACCAGGTTCTACGCTCAGTGTGAAAACCAACAATGGTAGAAAAACTGCGCGACATATAGAAGGAAGAGAAAATGCTAGCGTTACAAACTCGACGCCTCCGGGTGAACGGAAATTGAAACTGTATCATCGACCTTCCCAAGAACTGCAAAACCTTGGCCTTGTTTTACCAAAAATTCCATATACGCCAGATCTTAAAAAGGCGATCGAAAACGCGTTGCAAAGACCTAGACGCAAACCAACTTTGGATAATGGACTTCACAGTACTATAAAAGACACACGTGAAAACAGGACTACGGCTTTGGAACTTCTCAACTCCCTTTCTAGGGAAAGTGATAGAGAAATACCTCAAAGAAGGCTGTCGGATAGTTCTATAAGGACATGGGATAAAAAATCGAGAGAAAATAGACAAAACCTGGACAGGGAAAGTGATTCTAAATTTAGCGAACTTTCCTCAGATTTTGATGGCTCGTGTCCGATCTCCGCATGGAGTCCGAGAGAAAATACGATTACCTTGCGGTCAGATAAAACACCACCTGTTCTAACGAGAGGGCGCTCTATGCCATCAGTAATACCAAGCAGCATACTTTACTAATACATCGGTGGTGTTCTCTGATTTGATCGACCGACTCTTAACAGTTGGTGGCCGATCATGAAGGAGCTATATTTTCAGTATTAATACCTCAATCGCATCAACATTGACGTGTCTAGTTTAACCGGTTTTGACTGCATGGATGAAAATCGTGTAGAAAAGGAGAACTAAAAAATTGAATTTTTATATAGGATTCAAGTAGTCTTTAGCTTGTATTTTTAATGTGTTGAATTCGAATTCGACAAACGTCGGCTTCTAATAAGCAACTTCTATGAAGAAAACAAATTTAAATACGGTGTTTAACCGAAAACAGCTCTCAAACATGTTTAAGCCCGGCAAAAGTTTTCAGTAGTTAGGACGTTACTCTAAATAAGATTAAGTCAAAGTACTTATGGAGACATCAGATTTGAGCTTCCAGGATCCAACTTACCTTGGCTATACCTTGGCTATAGACCACATGATATTCTCTCATAAGTTCTTAAATGAGCAACCTACTAGTTATTTAGAACCTATTATACAAGAATACCACCCATCAAGAACACAGAGATCATCAACTCGCTTACAGTTACGCATCCCACCTATTATATCCAATTCCTATGGTGGACGCGCTTTTTCAGTATCTGCACCGAAACTATGGAACTCAATTCCCGAATATATTAAAAGAGCGGAAACAGTAGAAACATTCAAAACTAGGCTTAAGACATTTTTGTTTAAAAAAACATTACTGTTAATAATTACTTATTCTTTTGTCTTAATAATCTGTTGTTAGGCGCATTGAGATCGGAAATGCGCCCTATAAGCATCTATTTATTATTTTTATTATTATTATTATTATTATTATTATTTACTTACACTATCAGTTTTCATGGAAAAATGTTCACTTTAAGACAAATTTTATCTCAGTTATTCACTTATGAAGATAGCAAAGTTGATTTACGAAAAAAAAAAGATTAGTGTTACCAGGCAAAGTTTGATAAGCCTTTTATGATTGTTGAAATTTGAAGAAAAAAGTTTAATCCGAAAGAGTAGAGTGAAATGTAATAGTTAAATGTAAATAGAATAGAATTCTGTTATCTCATGATAGCCATTTATGCATTTCAATTAAAATCATTACCATTATCATTGTCACGTCGCAATTCGTCGTCATCATTTGCATTTATTGTCTTAGCTGATTCATTTTCGATGTCTGTTCCTTGTGGGGAGTTTAGGAAAAACCACGACGACAGCGGCAACGGGAACGTCGTTAAACAAAAGATTAAATGAGCAGAACAGAGGCTGCGCACAAACGTTATAAATATTTGTAAATTTATTTGCGTCCTCTGCAAAACAACAACGTGAAATGAGCAAACTTTTCGATGACTGGAGAACGTAAACGACTACGACTATTTTTTTTTTTTTTATCATTATTATTATTTATTTGTCTAATTTCCATATTCCTACCCAGTTTCGCAATAGTTTTGACAGTTAAAAACAAACTAAATGACTGTAGAGTATCGCGAGATTCGTAGGTAAAATATAAGTTCATTTTTGAACCGGCGTTATCCACGGCATCGCTGTCATCGTTTCTGAAACTCCCTAAAAATTCTGTGGGAGACACGGTGGCCTTATGGTCGGGTCAACATGTCTTGTTCTTAGGCAAAACACTTTTATACCGCCCCTTTTCACCTAGTCAGGAAACGAGACTTCTCTAGCTCCATGAATGGGAGCTGGTACTGGGGAATTGTCAGGGAAGCATGATGATGAAAACAGACGAGCAAACAAATTAGTGTCGAGCCTACAGAAATACTGCAGCAGCGCCTGGGCACGAGTCTGTAAGTAAAACCGCGCTGTATATGAGGGACTGGTGACTAAGGAAAGGAGAGGTCGAAAAGTTACTTAACATCCCCAGAAGAAAACATAGAATTAGGGGACAATCATTATTTAATACCGGAGGGGGGGTCGGGGATCACATGATATTCACGGGGAGCGTGGGGGGATCAGTCGTTGCTAACAGCGTATTAAAAGAGGTTCACGTATGATGCAC